AATTACCATAGACACAGTTTTTTTGGGATAAGGTCACATTATTTCATTTTGTGTCAAACGACATTCCAAGAAGATGTTTGAATGGAAGATATAATAAAATTTTTGTTTTGTTTGACATGGTGACCTCTCGTTTTGCGCTTATGGATATATGAAGTCATTTTCTCGGTAAAGTGTATCAGTTGGGTAACTTGCAGACATGTACATACATAGTTGATGGCATTTCAAGATAGGTGTATATGGCTATACGTATAATTAGGCCATAACTATTTTTGCTATCGTATTATACATCAAACCATGTGTACTCATATGAATGATTAGTTAAACATTATGAGGTCATTATTTCATTTACCATGGCTTCATCAGAGAATGGAGGGTTTCTCATTTGCAAAGGAAAAAAATACGGTTATCAAAAGCACAGACTACAAAAGAAAAGCAATATATAAGGGAACTTGGAAATATCCAGATGGGAAAGCTATAAACCAAATAGACCATGTTTTGATACAAAAGGAAGAGGTAAGAAGTATAAAATATATCAGGACATATAGAGGATTAGATGCGAACAGTGACCATTTCATGGTGGGAGTAAAATTTCGAGCGATATTACCTGTGCAAAGGAACAGAAAAAATGAAAAAAGAACCGTTATAAACACAAAACGATTAGAAAAACAGGACGACATAGATATATATAAGGGAATATTAAATGAAGAGCTAGAGACAGCAAAATAGAGGATTTGTACAGTGTGGATGAAAAATGGAATTTGATAAAGGTGAAAATGGAAAAGTGTGTGTCAGAATGTGAGCAAAAAAGGAGTAAAGCAAAAATGAATGGTTCGACGAGGAGTGCGAAAGGGAATTGAAAGAGAGGAATAAGTTGCGGTTGTTAGCGATACTTCAGACGACAGGAGCAAATAAACTACAGTATACCGAACAACGGAAGGTATGTAAGAAACTGCTTAGGGAAAAGAAGAGGAAAGATAAAAAAAGACAGCTTTGAGAAATAGAAAAACTCTATAAAAATGGGGAGATTCGAAATCTATATCAAGGTGTAAAAAGACAGAAAGACGGTTTTGAAGCAAAGCCAGTATTTCTAAAGAGTAACGATGGTCAACGCATTGTAGATGAAGAAGAAATGTTAGCAAGAAGGAAAGACTATTTCGAGGAACTGCTGAATGAAAACTTTCGGGAAGACGACGAGCACGGAATTAACGATTTTGAGGAACAGGAAAGGGTGTTGGAGGATAAACCAGACCTAGATGATATAAAAAAGATTCTAGGAAGCTTAAAATCAAAAGTGCTGGTATAGATGAAGTCACAGGCGAAATGCTGAAATTCGGAGGGGACAAAGATATTGAGGTAATGCACAGTTTGATAGGGGAAATTTGGGAAACAGAAAGAATGCCGCGTGAATGGAGTGAGGCGTTAATAAGCCCAATGTTTAAAAAAGAGGATAAAAAAATCCGAGAAAACTAAAGAGGGATAGCCCTATTGAATGTTGGATTTAAAGTGCTAGCGACCTGTATTAAGAGTAGACTTTCTCCGAAAATGTTAGGAATAATAGGAGAATACCAATGTGGGTTTAGAGCAGGAAGGGGAGTGTTGGACCAAATGTTTACGCTTAGAGAGATCCAGGCTGAGAGTTATCAACATCAGAAAGATACATATGTAGTGTTTAAAGACTTCAAAAGAGCATATGATTCAGTCCGAAGATCGGCAGTATACCATCGCTAAGAGTACTAGGAAATAGTGAAAAGATTATAAGGCTAATAAAGTTGACACTTCAGGAAACGGAAAATAGAATGAAAGTTGAAGGAAAATATTCTGAAAAGTTCAAGGTAAAAGTGGGGTTGCGGCAAGGGGATCCGTTGTCAACAGTTTTATCCAATTGTGTATTGAAAGATATAATCAGATCAGCAAATTTAAATAGGAATGGTTTATTATACAGTAAAAATCACCAACGTTTAGCGTTCGCAGATAACATTGCAATTGTTGCTAGAAGCAAACGAGAATTGATACAAGTACTAAAAACACTTGAAGAGAAAGCAAAGGAAAAGGGTCTAATAATAAACCAGGAAAAAACTAAATATATGAGATGGACAGATGATGATTTTATGACAGGAGAAAGCCTAAAGTTAAAAGCAGGCAGTGGCAAAATATATAATTTTGAAGAGGTCGATCGATTTGTCTATTTGGGATCAACCTTCACAAGAAAACCAGGCATAAGGGAAGAAATCAACGCAAGACTCGGGAAGGGAAATAGATGTTTATATAGACTGAACCAACTCCTGAAAAGTAAGTTGATAAGTAATAAACTAAAAATTAAATTATATAAAACAGTAATAAGACCATCAGTTACATTTGCTTGTGAAACATGGATCTTGAGGAAGGTAGGTATAAATACCCTAGAAGTGTGGGAAAGAAAGGGGTATTAAGGAAAATTTTGGAGGGAAACAGAACAATGGGGTATGGGAAAGAAGAACAAACCAAGACCTTGCAGATATGTATAAAGAATCAAGTATCACAGGATATATAAGAGCACAAATGTTGAAATGGTTAGGGTATGTAGAAAGGATTGCAGAAAATAGGATTCCAAAAATGAAGCATAGGAGGCAAGAAGAGGAGAGGGAGACCGAAGGAAAGATGGAAGAGCGAAGTAGAAGCTGATCTGAGAAGCTTAGGTGTACGAAACTGGAAATTCATGTGTCAAAATAAGAAGAAATGGAAATCAATTACAAATAAAGCCTTGTGCCTTTCAGGCCTGTAGAGCTATGTATGTATGGCTTACGTATAGGGTTGACTGGTATTTCGGTTAATTCTCTATGTACATCGAAAAACTGGACAGTATGACTGTATCTTCAATTTACTACTACTGCCAATAATTTCTTCCTTATTTGCTTAGTGATCTCCCAGGCATCAGTATCATAGTTAGCAATGCTTTCAACTATTGTCTTACACCAGATGAGTCAAATTCGACTATGACCATTCGAATCACGAAAGCGGTGAGGATAGGTAGTCCTTTAAATTAGGGTGGGAGTCGCGCATTTAGGGATCTACAAACAGGGCACACTGAAAGTTTCAAAATTTGCATATTTACGGAGATAGACGATCTTTCTTATTTCTCCCTGACTTTATTTGAGGCGCGACTTTAAAGTAAATTGCACAAGAACGCCCGTCCCTTCCTCCTCCACAAGATAGCGTAGTTAAAATTTCAATATGGCGTTTCGCAACTTGTCATCAAACATCAACATTATCTGTTCTTATGGACGCTATGATTTTAGCACTGGTGTACGGTTCTTAACTCTGAAAATGTATAACACGTTATACAGGATTTTTGTAAAACTATAATTATGAGAAACTATAATTATGAAAATTGTTCAAGGCAGGTATTGAAATTATCAGTCATTTGTTCCATACTATCATCAGCCAAGTACTCTTTCAGTTTGTATGAATTGGGCATAGATAAACATTCTCTATTTCCAACTTTAGTGATGTGATATCATGACATGGATGGATGATATTATAAATATCTCAATGTCTAAAAAAGTAATACTCCTACAGGTAGGTCTTGATTCATCGAATAAAGATCAAGGTAAAACGAACCTTTTCGTATTATATAGGGGAAGTAATGAAAACGTTGAAAATTGTACAACTGCTAGTAAAAACATTTTTAAGATCATATTGAAATTGAAATTATGCCATCTTGTAGAGGAGGAAAATTATCTCTCAAATAAGGTCAGGAAAAAATGAAAATAATTTTGAGAAAAACCGTTTTTTTTTTTTCGTTCATCTCAAAACATTCTAAGCGTTATTTGCTCAGGAATCTAAATTCGCAAGGTTGTCCCTATTCGACCGACTTTGTAACTTTTACTCTTTTCGAGATCCCATTGGTGAGAGTAATTTGAAATACCCGGTAAATTCTTACTGCTTGTTATTATCTGTTTGGTCCAAAATATGTCATTAATCATTATCCCCGTCCTACTTGATTTTTATTTCAGTATAATGGGTAATAGATACGAAGTCGCTTAAATGGAGGCAAACTTATGTATCTAAGTAATCAATAAGATCCCGCTTAAGAAGTATTGAGATCCAAAGTACTTCCGGAGGGAGACAAATAAAACATCGAATTTTCCCAAAAGCCTTTTAATTTCTTTCTGATATTATTTATAGCGGTATTTCAAAACAAATTACATATCAACATTGACATTCTTTTCCTCTCCAAGATGGCATAATTAGAATTTTAATATGACGGTTCGTCCGCCACCATCAACTTCATTTTTTCTTCAGGACATCATATTGGATTTTTGCACAGATAAGTACGAGTAGAATTTCCAATTCTGATTCCAAAATTATATAATATGGACATGGACATTGCCAAACCTTACTTAAAAAAAAGAATTTCCTAGATAGGCTTTGAAATTATCATTTGTTTCGTATACTAGGTTTATTCAAAAATTATTGCGTATTTCCTGTTTTTATTTGAAGTGGGATTTTGAAATAAATTGCATATTTGCATTGACACTCTCTTTTCTGTAATGATCCTCAAATTCTCAGTTATGCGTTTCTGCTTCTCTATCCTCAATTTTTTTTTCTTATGGGCTCCCTATTGATATTTTGGGCAATCGAACTCAATTTTTTATTCTGCACTTAATGATAAATATAATATACTTATGTATGTCACGATAAAGCTTACATATATAAAGTAATCTAGTAGTATTTAAATATAAAAAATTCCAATATAGCGTCCATATAAAAAAATTGTTTTATTTCCATATGCAAAACTTAAAAGACATCCCTCGTAGAAATTACGTATTTTAGAACAATAAACATGGTAGAAAACCCGCAGACGGCTGCCTTGTACGCGGGAAGTACTTTGAGTTTCAAAACTTTCTAAGCGGCATTTTGTTCGTTATTTAAGCGACGTATTTCTTACCGTTTCCGAGATCCCAAACTTGAGGATGTAATCTGAAATTCCCCGTATACATAAACTAAATTGTACTACTTACCTCTCCATGATCTCCATGGTCACCATGTCCTCCTCCTCCACCGCCCCCATGATCTCCGTGATCCTGCCCATTCGCTTGGTAGTTTGGAGTTCCATAACTGCTTATGGGTGGAGCTATGGGTGTTCCGTAGCTTGTGCTGGGAGGCTCACACTTTGCTATCGCTAATATTGCTAAGCAGATGGCTGTGCTGGTTATCTGTAGAATAAAATCATGACATGAAAAATCATATCTTCTGAAAGATAATCTTGAGGAAGGTCAATGTCAGAAGGCATTTAAACCTCAATTCAGAAAATTCAATTCAATCATATTGTAAATAATACGTACAGTACTTCAGCGAAGTCTGGCTGCTGCGTAAGGTAAGATAGATCATAGCTTTTAATATTCTGATGACAAATGTCAGAAACTGTATTTGACTTTTGGCGGAAGGCTTTTGAACGCTTAGACAATTAGCAACACCAAAACTAATAAATTAAGCGAGATTTGAAGCAATAAAAGTGGTCAACTCTAAGCTTTTACAGACTTCGTGCATAACTTGAAGACCCCCGAGGACCTTTCACATCCAGACTGATCCAAACAATTTGAAAAAAAAACTTGAGCAATGAATACATTTTTTTGTATTCTCTTGAAGAAAAATTGATTAAAGAATGCATCGGGTTAGCGTCCCGGCTATTTCTTGATCCATGTTAAGGGGTACATCCAACAAAAGTGAAAGAAATCCAATCGCTACCTCTAGTCAGCATTCCTAACACCTCCTTTAATTTGTATAATTTAGTTGATTACTATAAACAAAAAATTATATAGACCAATAGCAATTAAGACTGACATTTAGCATACATATAATCCATGGAATCATAAGCTCACGACTACTACACATAATATATTATTAAAAAAAGCTAACTGGGTTATTATATGAAGAAAATAATCCATATAACATAGATGAGAATTTTACTCTTATTACTCAATATTTATTGCTACTTTCAATAAAGTCTAATGTAAATGTAATTATATTGCTCTAAATATATCCGATGTACGCATCTTTGTCCTATTCTTTTTAAAAGGAATTGGTTACAAAATATATTTCTACACTCATGTACATTCAAGCACAGACTTAACTCGAGCTCGTTATAGAGTTATTTGAATAATGATGCTTTTAGCAAACGTATCTGCTTCAATATATTGAAGACTCTTTGGTTGCATTCAATTCAATTGCAACATACATAAGGATAGGTTTCAGTGAATGTAATCAATGTTAAAATTATTAGTAATTACTGCGAGATTTGGTAAGTGTAGTGAAAAATGCGAAGTTTATCACTTTTACCGACAGTTCTCAGTTGTTTATGGTAAAAGTATCTATAAAAACTAATTTGATCGGAAACAATCATGTATTGGCTATTAAGAACAATCGAATACGTGGATTATGTTTCCAAAACGACATGGGAAATATTTTTAAATTGAGTAAGATACGTGTTGGATTGGAATTTTAATTGACCCATTTTATGCAGAAGAAAAAGTGAATTTAAACTGACTTCTCAAATAGAATCCAAAAAAGCAAAAACGTTATTTTTCAATTTAGCATTCACATGATGATTTTTAAAGAATTAATATGGTTCTAAGCCTTCTACAGAAATTATTCTTTGAAAAAATAATATCATTATTACTAATGAAATCCTCTATACATATTTGACGCGTCATTTAGATGATGTCACAAATAAAAAAATAACTAAGCTCACCAGTTGTTCAAAGTATTCTGTAAACTGCAATTTTTATGTGCTGTGATAATTTATTTAACAGTTTGTTTATATTTTTGAATGTTAATTTTTAGACTGAAAAACATTGTTGAATAATTGAATAGACATTTTAGGCGATCTATTCTCTTTGCCTCCCCATATGAAAGGGTAGCAGCATATACTCTGAGGATTGCAGTAGGGGAAATTTTTATGTAAGAATTTTTCAAAACTAGGTACTGTGATCGACGTAACGAGTTCATTCCATCTCGCATCACATTACATGGTATCAATGAAGTACCTAGCCCAAAAATAAGGGATGAGTGTGCTAAACATGGCAATGACAAGCAGTATACATCTACTTTACAGCCAGAGCTGTCAGCCATCTAGCGGTCATGTGGTGACTGGGCTATTAAACGCTATTTGAGATCCCTAACAGTTCCAACTAAAACAGGCTATGCGCTTTTGGCAGTGGTCGATTCTGGCGTGACAGATGGTGCTTTGCGTAATAAGGTAGATACAGAACAGCGTCGCCCTGAAGTTATATAGGTTTTTCGCAAAATCTTAAACGCCTTTTATTCGATCATGTAGAAGTACATTAAAATTTCTTAGATATTTAGATACAGACGTATCCATAAAATGGTCGATGATGCTCAATAAGAAAATTGCGTCAACGGTAGTTAAACTCCAACAGAAACAATTTACCAGATTTAAATCCGGCGATCCATATGGCCAAGACAAATTGCGGTTTTTTCTTAAACGCTATTTTCTGCGAAAAGTTTATCAAATTTTAACAAAAAGTGCTCAAGGGCTATTAATATTTTGTCTAGAAGCAACCGTTGGACACCCTGTTTGTACCTATCCTCTTCTCTTATTCAAGGAATATAGCCGCTTGAAGTTTGACCATGCACACGTCATAATCCTGAGAGCGGTTTGACGTGCTCACCTAAGAAGATCCTATCTCTGAGAGTATCAACTTTACAGCAGCAACTTTACAACTTTATAAGAAATTCGCAACTTTGGAAACATTAGTTTGACACTTTGTGTAGAAGGTCGAAAACAGGCGAAAATATTGGGATGGGTATAGTTATGTACAATTTGAGTATCCGTAGACTATGAACATTGACACGGAATATGCTTTTGGTCAGTAACGACTTAATTACGATCAATTATTGGATATCATATGGGCGAAGCATAATCAGATCTCACACAAAATGTACATAAATCACAAATATGTGTATGTATCAAACTTATACAGGTTGTTCCTTAATGATATGCGAATATTTAAGGGTGTGAATCTACATGGAAAATTAATGTTAGTTAAACTATGGTCCAAAAATATTCCCTTACAAAAACTCGGGGTGTTGAAGTTTCAGGAAAAAAATGGAAATTAATTAATATTTTCAGAAACGCTTCAGATATTTCACTGATATTTAGTACGTAGTGGAAGTTAATAAAGTTGCATATATTTTCATGCAGAAATAATTTTTAGCTTTAACAGAGGCGTGCGTACGAGTATTGACTTCGATATTTTTTAAGAAAAAAATGGTACGACAATAGTTTTTTACCAAATCAAAATTATAATTGTATTCCCCGTTCAATTTAAAACGAATGATCTCACTTGAATTGTTTTTCTTCGATGCGCCATTTTTGAGTAAAAAAATAAAAATCGTTCTATTGTCTAACTTGCAAAATTATTATTAATTTAATTGTAAAAATTAAACATATTAGGAGTAGTGAACAACAACAACTGACAACATAAACATGAAATTGAAACCAACGAAATGATTACAAAAATTGTTGAAAATGGCCCCCTTCACTTAGTATGCATGCTTCCGCCCTCCTTCTCGTGGAATTGCGCACTCGTTGAAATATCCCTGGAGTGTTTTTTATTCTATCACAAGCTGCAACTATTCTTTCTCTTAATTCCTCTACAGTGCTAATGGGACTTGTGTACACTAGTGTCTTAAGATAGCCCCACAAAAAGAAATCTAAGCTGTTGAAGTCTGGGGACCTTGGTGACCATTCTTGGGGCCCACCGCGGCCAATCCAACCATTTGGATAAACAGTTTGTAAATAATTACGGACCGCTACACTGAAATGCGCTGGTGTACCATGATGCATGTACCACACATTGTTTCTTATTACTAACGGAACATCATCCAGCAGCAAAGGCAACTGTTGTTGAAGAAAATTGAGGTAAGTCTGTTCGTCAAGTCGTCCCGGCAAGAAGAATGGGCCAACAAAGTGGTTGCCGATAATTCCTGCCCATACGTTAACCGAAAATTGGGGCTGGAGATGGATTTCGGTTATGGCATAGGTATTTTCTTCTGCCTACAAATGATTATTGTGGAAATGCTGAATGGCATTTTGAGAAAAATTAGCTTCGTCCGTGAACAGAAACATTAATTCAAATTGCGGATTTTGGGTAACTTTTTGAAGATACCACTGACAAAAGGTCACACGCCTTGGAAAATCAATGGGAAGTAATGCATGTACTCTTAAAAACAAAAAATCCACTTAAATCTTCCTCGTACTCGTTTCACGATGTTCTTCGAATTCGTGCAGCACTGCTTCCTCAATTTCAGGTGTCCGCACACTTAGAGGTCTACCTTCAGATGTTCCTTTTCGGACAGAACCAGTTTCAACAAGACGACGATGAATATTAGAAAAGGTTAGACTACCTGGCAAAGCAGGATCGGGATATCTCTGGTGATAGATCCGTTTGGTTTGCTCACCATTACCGTCGGCAAGGTCATTTTCTGCATTTGAATAATTCACCATTATTAACAAGATTGTAAAAACTAAATAATGTAAAAAGATGTCACAGCGAACAGATTTGAATAACAGAAACTTGTCAGATGTCAAAAGCCATATTCCAGAGCAACTAGATATTTATTGCTAAATTGCATTCTTCAATTATTACATTAATTTTCTCGGACAATAGAACGGTTTTTATTTTTTTCTCAAAAATAGCGCATCGAAAGAAAACAATTCAAATTGAACGAGGAAATCAAAAATAATTTTTATCTGGCAAAAGACCATTGGTGTACCATTTTTTTCTTGAAAAATATCGAAGTCAATACCCGTACGCACTCCACTGTTAAAGCTAAAAATTATCTTTGCATTGAAAGATATGCATCTCTATTAACTTTCACTACTTACTACATATCAGTAAAATATCTGAAGCGGTTCTGAAAATATTAATTAATTTCCATTTTTTTCCTAAAACTTCAACACCCCGAGTTTTTGTAAGAAAACATTTTTGGACCATAGTTTATAAAGTAAACTAACATTAATTTTTGATGTATATTCACACCCTTAAATATTCCCATATCATTAAGGAACAGTATACTGATAGAATATTTTACTTTATTTTAAGAAATATCAAAAAATCTAATGAAACTTTTCCAGGGCGCTTATTAGGCAATACATTATTGTGTTTTTAAATTTTGTGCTCGTTTTTTATATGGTTCGAAAAAAAAGTACACCCCGGTTGACAAGTTACATTTGTTTTCTTCGTTATAAAGAAAAATGTGTTATTTTATTCTATTTTGCTGTGTTGCATACAAATCCTTGATGTAGGAAAGATTATGTGATTACTGACAGATGTATATCACATAATGACATTAGATATCGGGAAAATTCTATAAAATGATGCTTAATCTCATTCTTAAATTCAGAATAACCATTATACTTTTAACGTTATTTTTATATTAACATAAGGAGTATAAAACACAACATTGATTACTTAAAAATACTACTCGACCAAATATGGTACAATTTTGATCTAATAGTTTTAACTGAAACGTGGCAAGTGGCTGATATTTCTTGCTTCAATCAGCAGGGATATGACACGCTGTATAACACAACCAAAACGATGGGGTGATAGTTTTTGTAAGAAATAAACTGCAATATAATCATGATACATTCACTTTCACCGATGGAATCAAAATTTTAAACATAATGATCCAAATTAACCATAACAAAATTGAGGTATCTGCAATTTATCGTCCGCCATGTTCAGAACCCCACGAGTTTTTAAAGAATATCGAATTTTTTTTTCAAAATCAAAATAAAGTTCATTTAAAGCAACATATTTTCTTGGGAGATGTCAATATAAATATTTTGGACGATGATCCCATCACAAAAGAATACTTGAATATCCTATCAAGTAACGGATTTCTGTCCTATATAAACCTACCTACAAGGTCCATCAGTGGCACATGTATAGATCACTGCTTTGTGAAAGACCTATCCAACAAAATTACTTGTATACCAATAATGCTAGAAAGCGATATTACTGACCACTTCTCCACTATTTTACTGATATCCTCAAATGAAAAACATTCTAACATCCCTACCGTTAGTAACAACCAGGAAAATTACAAATTTTTTGTCGATAATTCAAAACTAATATCAAATGTCAAACAAGAATCCTGGGAACAATTATACTCTATAAATAATATAGACAAAGCAACGGGACTGTTCATAGAGAAAATAAAAAAACTAATAGATATTAGTACCAATAAAGTAATAATTAGTCACAAAGAGAAAAGCAGAAATGCCTGGATTACCAAAGGATTAATAACATCGGTAATAGAAAAAGAAAGACTATATAATGTAATGAAACGCCAACTACAGAGAATACCGACTGCTACAACCAATATAAAAATAAATTTATAGAGCTTGTAAGGCAAACCAAACGAAAACATTACCTAAATAAATTGAATAATAACTTAAATGATCCTAAGCGGCTTTGGACAACTATTGATGAGATTACATATAAATACAACATCGGGAACAGTATTAAAAAATATTCAACAGATATGCGATGAATTTGTACAATTCTTTACTGACATAGGCGAAAATTTAGCAAGTAATATACAAGCAAATATACAAAATACTCAGCCAGAAAAGAACTTTGAATTCATTTATTTTGGATAAAGTCGAGCAATGTGAAGCATACACCACTGTTATGTCCTTAAAAAATCAGAAAAGTCCTGGGTTCGATGGTATTAGAAGCGAGCATTTGAAAATTATAGCCGAGGACATAACAGAACCACTCACTTACCTAATCAACAAATGCTTTGAATTTGGCATATATCCCTCAATTTTAAAAAAAGGTAATATAATACCGATACATAAATCAGGAACAAAAACAGATGTTAACAACTATAGACCAATATCAATAATATCCAGTGTAGCAAAGGTTTTTGAAAAAGTTTTATCTACTAGAATGATTCGATACCTCACAAAATTCAAAATTTTAAGTGAAAATCAATATGGATTTACAGAAGGGAAGGCTACATCGGACGCAATAACTAAAATTGTAAATCAAATACATCAAAATATTGATAACAGAATCCCTTCAATCTGCATTTTTGTTGATTTAAAGAAAGCCTTCGACACAGTTAATCACAAATTATTATTAGAAGCATAGGAGAGAATTGGTTTCAGAGGAAACGCGTACTCACTCATCGAAAGTTATTTGTCAAATCGCCCACAATCTGTGCAGATATCAGGATCATTTAGTAAAGAAATGTATATTAAGTGTGGTGTCCCACAAGGAACTGTCTTAGGTCCGCTGTTATTCAATATATATTTAAGTGATATTTTCCAAATTAATTGTGTTGGCAAAATAACTAGTTTTGCAGATGATACTGCAATATTATATGAAGGCACTGACTGGCCTGATCTGAAAAATGTTATTGAAAATGATTGTATCAAAATTATTCGGTGGTTTAACAGTAGAAAATTAAGCATTAACTACTCTAAAACACATTTTTTACCATTTGGATCTTATGCTAGACATCTGCCAAATTACACAAATTTCTCCTTCAATATTAATGATCAAAAAATGCAAATTAATAGGGTGCCCAACATAAAATACCTTGGAGTGGTCTTGGATCCTCACTTACGATGGGTCATCCATGTCAATTATATTTTAAAGAAAGTTAGATTTGTATCCTACAAAATTAAATACCTTGGGAATATATTGACAGAAAAATATCTTCGAACATTATACCATGCACTGATTGAGCCTCATCTCACATATGGTATATTAGCATGGGGAGCTGCATGTTCCTCACATATCTATAATTTAGATGTTTTTCAAAAAAGTATTCTAAAAATGATATTTAAAAAACCGAAACTTTATCCCACTGAAAAATTATACGCAGATGTTCGAATGTATGATATAAGACAGCTTTATTTCTTACACAGTATCACTCACTACCATAAATTTGTAAACACCGACCAAAAAATTAAACATAATCATTATACCAGGTACAAAATTCGTGGCACAGTAGTTCCTCAACCGCATAAATCTATAATGCAGCGATCATATCTCTATTTAGCGCCTAAATTTTATGAAATTATACCTAAAGACTTAAAAGATTTACGTTTCGGAAATTGTTTCAAAAGAAATTTAAAAAAGTGGCTACATTCTATATCTAGGACTGAAATTCATAAACTCATAAATACGAACATCAACTAAATACATAATCTACTGTAGCTAATTTTTGTCCTTTTTTGTCATTTGCATTCTACAGTTTCAACTTAAATTTATTGGTCCATGTACAGGCGATGCCTTCTATTGGGCCTGTTTTGATTTTATATTTATTTACTCATATTGTTTGTTATCTTTGTACATTGAGTTAATAAATATTATTATTATATTAATAACAATAATCCCCATGCATAGGGTACTTGTTTTGGATACCATGTATTCACTAAAATAATATCTCTTTCATCAAATCAGGATTTCATTTGACGTAATTTATTAAAAATAATCGTATCTCCATCCACAAAAGAAACCAAAAGTCTTTAAATAGAAAATTGTTGAAAAGTACAATCGACGACTTTATTTTTGAAAATCCCAACCGGCTGACAATCAGAATTTTTCTACCAACCAAAAACCAGTACTGTATTTTAAGTTCTTAGGGCCGCATTGTCAGTCGTCCGTACAATTGTAGGACGGCTTTATGGCTTCCTTGATTTTCATAGTATTTTCTCTCCTTCATAAAGGCTGTGATATTTATAGATCTCTACTGTTCGATGTCAGCGTCAGCGCTCTCCTATTGTGAGGCTACTTCTTTTTGGATTGCAGGAAATTTCAGGCTGACAAAACAGATGATAAAAATCAAAAGCATGAACAATTTCGTGAAAATAGATATTCGTAGCATAACCTCAAAATAGAGCGTCTTTCTGAAGGCCTGGAAAAACTTGAAAATCGTAAAGGCATCCTACAATTGTAGTACTGCCCTTAGATGGGCACGAATTCTCGAACTATAATCCATAAAGCACCAGCAGGCCACCACGCTTCAGTAACACCACTCCACACCACCAATGACTCACCCCCTTCATTATGTTAGCCCTATCCTTATTCCTCAGCGTCCACAGAACTATGCACTACGACCTTGACCCAGATACCAAAAGAAACTTCAAAAAACTCCTCCCAGCCTGCGCCGATTCGAACCCGCGTACTGTGCCGAGAAAATATAATTTTGGTTTATATACCGTGGTGTACATTTGGTAATCTATTGTGTTTATCTGTGAGTGTGGTAATACTTTTACTCCAATTTGCTCCCACGATACACGCAAATCTGCACCACACTATCCCTTCCTAGCGCCGCCGGAGCGTCATCATCGAAGAGTGCCGTGGCGGGCATGTCACAGGACGGGGAGTTATGATTCGACTGTTATTATAGTACAAGGGACAGTGAGCGGATTTGGATTACCGTCTCATGATCGAAGAATTCGAGCGATTTTCTACAGGGTGTTTCAGTTTATTGTTGCATAACTTTAAGATTCGATAGAACTTTTAAAATTAATGCATAAAGTCTATATAAACATGGGTCGAAAAATGCGTGGCTTCCGAAATATAGGGTGTTTAAATTTTTTTCTTAGTACAATTTTTTGCTTTTTGAATAAAAAAACTGATTCTTCGCACTTTTCAACATAAAAAAGCTCTCTTGTGAATTTTCGTTACAGTTAGCCGTTTTTGAGATATTTCGATTTTTAAGGTTCGATGCACTTTTAATTATTTATGATAAAATAACGTTAAAAAGTCAGTATCTCGATAATTTTTAGAAGTAGGCTGTGCCTGCAAATATTTTTGAAATCGAAAGCAGAATAAGGTTAAACGTCAATTAGTTGACAGTTAGTTTTGTTGTCTGTTGAAACCTGAAACGTTTTTTGCAATTGTGAATGCACGAAATTTAGTTTCTTTTACCTGTTTTTTTTTGTAAGTGTTATAAAAATGCCATTTTTATTCTCCAATCAAGAGTTAGCGGATATTCATTTTGTGTATGGCTTTGTAAATCGAAACGCAGCAGAAGCAGCTAGAGAACACACACGAAGATTTCCAAACCGACGACATCCAACTCGCACAGTATTTGTAAGAGTGCATCGCCAAATAATTGAAAACGGTTTTAGAAATCTCCAAAGGGATCAAAACATAAATGTTCGTCAGCGCAGATTTACCCGTATAATTCTGCGTGAGTTTGATAGAGATCCGACCACAAGTGTTAGGAGAGTTTCTGGTGCCTTGGGAATTTCAGCAAGCCATGTTCACCGTGTTCTTAGAAATGACCATAGATGTCCTTACCATTTGCAACCTGTGCAAGGACTACAGCCAGGGGACGGAGAACGAAGAATCACATTTTGTCAGTGGATTCTTGATAGAACTGATAATAATAGGGAGTTTTTAAGTAACGTTTTATGGACCGATGGGTCATGCTTCACTAGACGTGGAGTGGTAAATTTTCATAATCAACATATTTGGTCGCATGAAAATCCGCATGCAGTTCGGGAAACAAATTTTCACCATGAACTTAGTGTGAACGTGTGGATTGGTATCTACAGTAATCGACTATTTAGACCTACCTTTTGCCTGCAAGGTTAAATGCTGCGACCTTCTTGGAATTTTTAAATTCTGAACATGCAAATATGTGGGATGATGTTATGTTAGATTTAAGAAGATTGGCCTGGTTCCAGCTTGATGGTTGTCCAGCTCATTATTCGAGAATAGTTAGAAACTGGCTGGACGAAAATTATCCAGATAGATGGATCGGCCGTGGAGGACCAGTCGCCTGGCCTCCACGATCCCCTGACCTAAATCCATTAGATTTCTTTGTGTGGGGATTTCTAAAAGAAAAAGTGTACCAGACTCCCGTAACCACAAGAGATATGTTAATAGACAGAATCAGGAATGCATGTGATGAAAGAAGGCCTTATTTGAATAATGCTATACCACGTTCGATCATTCGTAGATGTGAATTTTGTATTGAACAATTGGGTTTACATTTCGAGCAACTACTTTAGATTTTGTATGTTTGTCCTAACTATCCAATAGCATTTTAGTTTTAGATAATTAATTTAATTTGTTAAAAATAATATTGGAGAATTAAACAAATTAATATTCTGCTTTTTTGTGTTTATTTGGAGTTAGGAATTATTGCTGTGTTTAAAAACACAATCTAAACGATCATCTTAATTACTTGTAATGCCCAAATCGAAAATCTAAAAAAATATTATTTTCCCATAAATAATAAAAAATGCATCGAACCCTAAAAATCGAAATATCTCAAAAACGGCTAACTATAACGAAAACTCACAGGAGAGCTTTTTTATGTTGAAAAGTGCGAAGAATCAGTTTTTTTATTCAAAAAGCAAAAAATTGCACTGAGAAAAATTTCTCGGTCATTTTAATACACTACAGGTACAGTAGAGAGCGCCCTCTACCGGCTACAGTAAAACTATGCCCATGGTTCGTTTTGTCGTACCAAAAGACCCTTGTATATCAATTTTCACTGTTATACATCAAATATTGTTCGAAATATTTAAAAAAAAACTATTTTAGAAAGTAAATTTAAACACCCTGTATTTCGGAAGCCACTCATTTTTCGACCCATGTTTATCTAGACTTTATGCATTAATTTTAAAGGTTCTATCGAATCTTAAAGTTATGCAACAATAAACTGAAACACCCTGTATATTGACGATCATTTAAGCTAATAGAGGCCAAATTCTTAATTTTTATTTTGCAAACAACATCTGAAAATTCTATTACACAAAAAACTAAACTAATTATAACACTTGGAGCTGACTATAGCGAAAAAAAGGGAAACAACAAAATTTGCGATTTTTATCTCTAAGAAACAAGAATTCGTAACTCATTTTACAACTGAGTAACATCACCTTTATTTTTAATTACAGCTTCAACTCGTCGAGGAAAAGTTTTTCCTTGAGTTCTTGCACAGTCCTGGCAGGATTGGCCTTTTTCATGATGTGCCATAAAGTCTCGATGGGCGAAAGGTCCGGACTACTAGAAACCCATTCTAGGAGTGGTACTTCTTGGTCTAAAAGCCATTTCATGGTTTTTTGGATGTATGACAGGCAGCTCCGTCTTGCTGGAAGATGAAGTCATTTCCATTGATCCTGCTCTGCTCCAAAGTGGGCAACAAAAATTTCTCTAAATATTTATCTGAGTTAACAATGCCATTAATAAAATATAATTTGCCAACTTCTCTTGCCGACATTGAAGCCCAGACCATTACATACTGAAGATGGAAATCTAACTTTGCGCTTGAGACAATCAGGATGATAAGTTTCATGTTTTTGGCGAATAATTCTGCTCCGACTATCACCGACGCAAAGTTCGAATCGTGACTCGTCACTCCGGTGCACACGATTTCACCTCTCCATATCCCAATTTCGATGGTTTTTAGCCCATTTTAACTTGTTTTGCTTCTGCTTCAGGGTCAATAATGGTTTTTCTTTAATTAATAAAATGTAATTTTCCAACTTCTCTTGCCGACATTGAAGCCCAGACCATTACATACTGAAGATGGAAATTAAACTTTGCGCTTGAGACAATCAGGATGATAAGTTTCATGTTTTTGGCGAATAATTCTGCTCCGACTATCACCGACGCAAAGTTCGAATCGTGACTCGTCACTCCGGTGCACACGATTTCACCTCTCCATATCCCAATTTCGATGGTTTTTAGCCCATTTTAACCTGTTTTGCTTCTGCTTTAGGGTCAATAATGATTTTTCTTTAGTCTGGTCCAAAGGAAACAATAATTATCTCTTGTTGCTTAGGATTGGACTCGTGAAACTTACCTTGTAAGTACCATAACCTAGTTTTCTTGCTTTTGAATGGCACGTAGACCTGGAAACACGTCTTCCAACAGCTTCACTCCAGAGTACACTCAACTTGCCCAAAGCTCGTCTATCAGGGTCTGTTAATTTGGATTTTTTTATATATCTGGATATTTGGGCAGTTGAACCATTTGATTCGTATAGTCTTACAATATTTCGAACATTGTATCTAGATAACCCGTGCAATATTCCAATTTTACCGTTTGATTTTCCCGATTCATGCAAATTAACGATAATTGATCGAATATTTTCATCTATCGCCTTTCCGCTGCCCATTTTTGACAGCATCTACGAGGTATGGCCTCCTGATAAGCTAAGGTTCGCTAAAACAAGCGAGCGTCGCTAACAAACAAGCATTGTTACCACGTCCGTCTTGACAAATCATCGTTAGCAATATTTGGGTAGGTATTTTTTTAATCCATATAATTGCTATAAATATACTACAAACTGTAATGACTCATACGCGTGATCAACACGTGATCAGAGCTCGATCCCGGCTTCCTTCCAGTACAGCCGTATAGCGTATGACATATGTCGTTTCTGTGGCTTTGCGGTGGTCAACAGCACAGACAGAGATGGGAATAATGGCTGATTGTTCTCCGCCGGTAGAACCAATGAAATCAAAGACGCGCCTCGACCGGCAGACTCATAGGCGTCGGCAACGCATTGGAACGTGTTTCGTTGAGCGATCGCATATTGTGTCTTTTTGTAAGAATTGTTGTGTGATTGTTATTGTTGTGGTTTCTGTGGTTACTGTTTTGGTTATACTTAACCATAGAGAGTACAAATGGCACGAGTGGAAGTACTGAAAGCCAGGGAACAAGTAGACGGCTTCGTAAAGCACTGAAGAGGGACGCGAAAGAAATCGTGCTCAACGTGTTCAATTATCTGAACAGAACTATGTCGCAGGGAGATGCACTCGCGCGTTGTGAAAGTATGACAGGCGATCCAGAGTGGACCATTCGCAGGGTGGTGCATGAAAAGAAGAAAACTGGAGCTACTACTGATCCAAAGTTTAATTTGAAGGGACGAAAGGCCGTTAAATTGGATGACGATAGCAAAATGGCGTTAAGGCGAACCGTACATTCGTTCTTCTTTAGGAATGAGATACCAACCCTCAAGGCTGTACATGCAGCGATCAAGGAAAATGAAATTATACCCCAAATGAGCGTCGAGGTAATGAGGAAATCCCTGCACGAAATTAATTTTCGTTACGAAACGCGTAATCGGAAGTCAGTATTGATAGAGAGACCTGAAATAGACGCCTGGCGTCGAAAATACCTACGCGAAATGATTGAATATAGGCGACAAAGCAGAAAAATCTATTATTTGGACGAGACATGGGTAAATGCAGGTCACACAGTTAAAAAAACCTGGATAGACAAAAACGTAGTGAGTAACCGACAAGCAAGCATTGAAGGTTTGTCAACAGGTCTTCGTGGACCGTCAGGGAAAGGTCAAAGATTGATCGTAACTCATATTGGTAGCGATAGTGGCTTTTTAGAAGAGTGTGACTTGATTTTC